CCCTTCAGTCCGCCCGCAGAACTCGGGTGACCCCGCGGGCACAATGCCGTGCAGGGCGGCCAAGTCCAGCTCAGCGGCCTTCACCCAGTACTCCCACTTCTCGTGGGTACCGACGCTCTGCATGTCTAGCTCCGCGTCCAGCCACATCTGCGTGGGGTCGCTGCTCCTGCACCCTACTGGGACATCGACGGGAAACCGCTTTGGAATGCGTGCAACTCTGGTACCCAATGTCTATGAGGTGGCGCGAACATAGCATGAGCTTCACAGGCACATGAGGCGTAGTGCCAGCATCTGGGATCACCTCCACGTGTGCGCCGTACTGCAGCGACGCCGACGCCACGAAATAGTCGAGGACCTTGCCTCCTAGCTCGGATGAGTTGGTACAAGTGGCCACACTGGGCGCCAGCACGACTCCGTCGACAGCCTTAGTCCATCCAGAGCCACACAGGATATCTGGAGCCATGTTGAAGTCTCCACGCACGAAATAGGGCAGATTCACCACCTTGAGAATCTCGCCAGCGGACTCGAGAATCTTCCAATTCCTGGGAGAGAGCTGCTCACTGTCCTGCAGGTACACAGCCGCCCACAGCACTCCACCAGGCACGATGCCAGGCGTGCGTAGCGCCGCTGCTGTGCCGCCGCTGATGGTGGGCGGCACGAGGTCGACGGGGGCCAAGCCCTGCGCCAGCGGTACCATCTGCAAGATGCCACCGCTGCTGCCCGCGCCAGTGCGCGTGCTGACAGCAGGCTCCATCCTGCCCCGCCAGCCCGCTTCTCTTCACTTGCTCTCCCAAGAGGCACATGAGTCAACCTGATGATGCTCTTGAGCCGTGACCAATTGCGCATTCTGTACCGAACGGTGTTTGCGCAGGGCTTTCAGCCCCACGAGCCCTGTGACGTCGCTGCTGATCGTTCGCCACTGACTAGGAAGATTGCGCTCTCTCAGCTGAGGCTGCATCACCGTCATCAGCCCGCAACTTCTTGAGCGCCTGGTTCCTGACATTGTTGAAGATATCTGACATGAGCTCATGCTTGACACCGTGCTTCTGCATGAGTTGCTCCATCTCTGGGGGATCCTTGTCCTGGGCTTGCTCGAGATAGTCCAGGAACTCCTTGTGTGCTTGAGCCTGGGCTGCGCGCTCTGCCTCGACCGCAGCCCCAGCCGCCGTGGCCGAGGCACCTGCATCGACCTCCATGCCTGCTGCACCTCCATCGACGGCCGCAGCGGCGGGGCAGCCAGCGGCGCCTGCACCCCCAGCGGCAGCCGTGGCGCAGGCGCCCGCAGCGGCTGCGGCAGGGGCAGCTGCTTGGTCGCCAGGAGGTTCACCAGCAGGAGCAGCAGCAGGCGCGGCCTCTTGAAGGACGGGTAGCAAATTCTCGAGCGCGCCAGCGACCTGTGCAATCTTGGCATTCGCGGTGTGACATGCAAGCGAGGCCACCAGCAACTTGAGCTGTTCGACTGGATCTGCTGGCGTCGGGGCCTGGCCCATGGCGGCACAGGCGGCAGCAGCCTTGGCGGAGGCCGCACGAGCTGCCGCCACCGCTTCGGCCAGATCAGCTTTGCACTGAGCCGCGTGAGCCACTGCCTTGAACACTGCATCGCTGGCACGATCCAGTGCGCGTTGAGCTTTGGCCCGCTTGTCCTCACAATAGTCTTGATCCAAACGAGCGGCCTTAGCAGAAGCACGGGGTTCGCCATTGAGCAAAGCACGCTGCGCGGCGACTCTGGAAACTTGCTTCGCTGGCCACCCGTCCGAGACATGTTCGAAATCCGAGACGGGCATCCTGGCGTACATGTGGACCTCTTCTGACAACGAGAACACTTTTCCGCGTGGCGGGCCCTGCGCCCACGCACCCAGATCACGCTCTGCACTGCCCGAAGACACAGAAGGCTGACGACCAGCAGGCCGGCCACACTTGAAGCAATTCCTGCGCCAACAGTAGTTGAACTGATAGCCGCACTTCTTGTGTCCACACGACAAAAACGAGAAGTCGGGTGTTCCATGCGGAGCCATGCCTGAGGCGTAATCATGTGTACCCGAAGCGGACAAGCCGCACAATACACAGAGTGTGTGTGTGTACTGAGGTAGAAAGCAGACGGGGGCCGCGAAATCCCCCACGCCAAAAACTCAAATCCATGAGCCACCAGCTACGGACTTGAGCCAAAATGGCTACGGACCCCTCCTCCTCCTCCTCCTCATCCTCCTCCTCCTCCTCCTCCTCCTCCTCCTCCTCCTCCTCTCCCACTCCCTCCTCCCCCTCCTCCTCCTCCTCCTCCTCCTCCTCTTCCCTCCCCTCCTCCTCCTCCCTCCTCATCATCCTCCTCCCTCCTCCTCCTCCTCTTCCCCATCCTCCCCCTCCTCCTCCTCCATCCTCCCGCGGCCGCGGCGGCAGCCTCCAGAGATGCCTCTCCCGCACGCCCGGCGGTGCCCGCCCAGGAAGCGGAGCGGCTGCAGCAGGCCCACAGCGGCCAGATCAGGCCGTCGCGCGGCTGGGCGGGCCCTCACCGCTGCTCCCTCGCGGCTCGTCTCCCTCGCAGGGCTCGTTTCCCAGACCCCCTCGAGCAATGAAAAAACTACGCCGGGAGGTTTTTCACCATTCTCGGCCTCCGGGGGCCCTCACCAGGCCTCCGGGCCGTCAAAAAAAGACTCAGGGAGGCCCGAGGCAGGCCGCGAGCCGCTCGGGGGACGAGGGCGCCGGCCACGCGGCATCGTGAGTGCTGCTGCAGAGCCTCTCGGCCAGAGCGCCAACTCATGGATTTAACCATGATTAAACCAAACTTTTTCGGCCACAGCTTTCGACAGCAGGTGTCCAGATGCTTGCCACGAGGTGTGAAGGCGCCCCGTGATAATTCAAAGCTTTCGTGCCGCTGGCGATGCGATGCGATGCGATGAAAAACCAGTCCAGGGGAATAGGTCGAAACTTCTGGGGGTCGACGTCATGAAAAAATCACGACGTCGGGGGTCTGGGTCGCAGGGCTCATTCCGACTCCTCCGGTTCGATTCGATGTCGATGGTTTTCGTTTCGGACTCGATTCGGCTTTGGGATCCGATCGGGTCTCCGATGTCTCAGCGGAGACCTACTAGCCAGCCGATCTCCATATATTCGACTTCTCCCGACTCGGTTGCCCATGTCCGCCGATCCGACTCACTTCCATCGCCGATCCGACTTATCGGTTCAATTCTGGGCTTTCTTGTCGCTATGGGCCCAGACCCCCTCGGGTCACCAGAGGCCCGAGCCAGGGCCTGGAAGCCACCATGCGTCGGAGAGTCCTGCGGGAAACGGGTCTTGGAGGCTTTCCTCCGCTGTCGGGCCTCCAGAGGGCCTCTCGCTCTGGTGGCCTCGCGGCCACGGGTCAGAGAAATTACGGGCGAGGAGCTGGCTCCCGGGGGGAGGGGGTCCGGGGCCCATCACCCGTTTCCCTCGGGACCCTTTCTTTGGCTGCATGCTCATCTCGCAGGCGACGTTTCTCCCCCAGCCCCCGACTTTTCGACGAAACATGAGGCCGCTCAGAAAGGGACCCCAGGATGTAGCCCGAGGGGGCCATTCGGACGCACCCCTTATCGAGGATGGGCGCTCCCCAACCATCCCTCCCTGGGTTGGGCCCCGAGTTTCTGGTCCACTCGAACACCTCCCAGAGCCTGGGAGAGGGGCCGACATGTCCCCTGCTGTCATCTCGCTGGTGCTCTCCGTCGCCACCGCGCTCGCTCGTCTGCCGTCCTCGCCGTCGCCCGTCGTCGTCGGCGGCCGTCGGCATGCCCTTCCCTGCCCACGGGGGTCGGCGTGCCCCCGTCGGGGCGCCCGCGAGGACGGCCCAGCGTCCCGGAGTCCGCTCTCGCTCCTCCTCCTCCTCCTCCTCCTCCTCCTCCTCCGCCTCCTCCTCCTCCTCCTCCTCCTCCTCCTCGCCTCTTCTACAATTACTCAATATGAATACTACTCTCCCTCTTCCCCCGAAGGCGGCCTGAAAATATTCGACCCCCCCCCGCGTACTGTTTTTTACACACAGGATTCCCGGGAGTTGGGTTTTCGCCTGCATTTTTTTTCAAAATGCTGCTCTCGCTGAGGCGCCGGCCTCATTTCTGCTCCCGAATCGTTCCGAATCGTGCTCCCGCTGCAGCGTGGGCCTCATTTTCGGATCGGTGTTTGGCCTCCGTCGTTCAGGATGGCGTTCTCGCCCCAGCGCGGGCCTCTTTCTCGCGCGCCCATCCGCCCGCCACCACCGCGCCGCACCACGCCCCGCCCCGCCGCACGCACACCCACCGCCACTTCCACCCACCAACGCACGCACGCACGCACGCGCACCACCACCGCGCACCGCCACCACCACCGCACTACCCCACCCACCACCACCACGCTACACCGCGTCACACCACATCACACGCGCGCACACACAGACACACACGCACGCACGCACGCACGCACAGACACACACACACACACACACACACACATACACGCACACACACACACACACACACACACACACGCACACACACAGACACACAGACACACAGACACACACACACACACATACACCACCGCCACCACCACACATCACGCACACACACCACCACACCGCACACACGCACGCACGCACGCACGCACCACCACCACACTACGCACACGCGCGCGGAGCCACAGGTCCGCTACGACACGCGTCCGCGGGTAGAGAAAATCAGCGCCATGGTAAGGGATGGGAGGGAGGGGGAGGATGTCAGATGTTGACGCGAGCGCACCTAACTTGTCCTCCTCCCGCTCCCCCTCCTCCCCTTCTCCTCTTCTTCCTCCTCCTCCTCCTCCTCCTCCGCCTCCTCGGGGGAGGGGCGGCGGGGCGGGCCGCGGCAGCCCGCGGCCGCTCGCCGTTTGATCTGGAGAACTAGCTTGGACAGGACGCTGGCTCCTCTCTAGAATGTGTACACATACGGCTTCGGGGCCGAATCCCCCCTGCGTTTTTGACACTTTATTGCGTCGGCGTTTGTGGATGGTTTCGCCGTTGTTCTCGTCGTTTGTCCATACACACTTCGGTCCGCCAGCCTGCATCCTCTCCGCCCCTCCACCGATGCCCCCCTTTCCCCCCTCCCCTTAATCTCCAATGTAATGCCGTTGCGGTGTTTTTCGAAAAGGGTTCTTGTTGTGAGACAATCCAACAGAATATTTGCGTGGTGCTGTCTAATGGGTTCCGAGCGTGAGACTTTACAATCGAATCTCGTGGTGGTGTTTCCCAAAGGATTCCGTGAGTAATGCTTCCCAAACGGATATCCTTGTGGTCTTTTCCAACGGATTCTTGTTGTCATGCTTTCCAGTAGAAACATTTTGCGCCGTGTTCCAAAGGATTTCCGCTGTGGGAGTTTCCGAAGAATCACTTTGTGGCGTTTTCCAAATGATCCTTGTTGCGAGGCTTCCCAGTAGACTCTGTGTGGTGCTTTCCAAAGGAGTCCTGCTATGAGGCTTTCCAACAGAATCCCTCCGCGGCGCTTTCCATAGGATTCATGTTGTGAGGCTTCCTGATTGAATCCCTCTGTGGCACTTTCCGATGGATTTCTGTTTGGTGCGGCTTCCCAATCGGAGCCCTCAGTGGTGTTTTCAAAAGGGTATTCTGGTGTGAGGCTTTCCGATGGACTCCTCTGTGGTGTGAGGCTTTCCGATGGACTCCTCTGTGGTGCTTTCTGATGGGTTCCTTTTCGTGCGGCTTCCCAATAGGAGCCCCTCAGTGGCGCTCCCCAATTCAATAGAATCCCTGTGTGGTGTTTTCCAAAGGGTCCCCTTTTATGGTAGTTTCCTAAAGGAGCCCAATGTAGAGTTTTCCAGACGATTCCTTCTGTGATGCTTTCCAGTAGGAGCACGTCGTGTTGGTTTCCGAAGGATGTTTCTGGTGAGGCTTTCCGATCGAATCCTTGTGTGGTATTTTCCAAAGGATTCCTGTTGCCAGGCGCTCCGATCGAATCCACTTTATTGCGTTGTTCAAAAGATCTCTATTGCGAGGCCGTCCGATCAAACCTGATATATTCCTTGCCAATGAGAGTTCCAGTTAGTTGTTCCCGCAGGGTCCTTCTGGGGCGCTTTCCAAAGGATTGCACTCCTGATTGCTTCTAACAGAATGCGTGTTGTCAGACAGCGCTGTCCAAAGGATCCCTGATGTGATGCCATACAATGAAATTCCTGTGTAGCATGTCGCACAGTGTTCCAAGCCCGAGGCTTTCCAATCAAACGGTTTGTGATGTCCAGAGGCTTGGTCCTGTGACGCTTCACAAGAGAAGCCTTCAACAATAGTTTCTAAACGGGTTCGTTCACGACGTGTTCCAATCGAATATTTGCTTGTAACGATTCCGAGCGGATTCCTGTTGCGAGGCGAAGGATTCTTGATGCGGGCGCTCCAATACAACTTTGTTTTGTGTTGTCCTGAGGATATCTGTTGTGAAGCCTTCGGGCTCAGTCTTTTCAATTATTTCCCCGCCAGATTCTAGTTGCAAAGTTTCCCACAGAGGCTTTCTGAAGCGTTTTCCAAGGAATTCCAAATCTGCTTGTGTCTAACAGACTGTGTTTGTAGCGCTTTCTCAAGGATCCCTGTTGTGAGGCCATCCATTGGAGTTCCTGTGGAGCACTTCGAACAGAGTTTCAAGTGCGAGGCTCTCCAACGAATCCCTCTGTGGCGCTTTCCAAACAATTCCTGATGTGAGGCTCTCAATCGAATCTCTTCGTGGCACTTCTCAAAGGATTCCTTGTGTGATGTTTTCCAATAAAAGCCCTCAGCAGTGTTTTTCAAACGGCTCCGACCATGAGGCTTTCCAATCGAATCCCTTCGGAATGATTCCCATCGGATTCCTGCTGCGAGGACATAAAATATTTTTCCTTTCCAAAAGGATTCGTTCGTGATGCTTAAGGACGAAAGGGAGGAGGGGGAGGAGGGGAGGGGAGGAGGGGATGGGGAGGACGGGGAGGGAGGGGGGGAGGGAGGGGGGGAGGGGAGGGGGGGAGGGAGGGGGGCAACAAAAAAACAACATGGGATGTGTAAGGAAAAACGGAAAGGTTGCGCCCCTCCCCCCCAGGTTGCAAACCCTTCCCCTTGGTCACGAATCTGAGTGCGCGAGGGGTCGCAGAATCGAAAGCGTGACCAAAGGGCGCCCCCCCCTTCTCAAGGCCCCCCCCCCCCTCCCCCCGAAGCCCCAGGCGCATTCCTGGCCATGCCCCACCGACGCACGAGAAAACAGGAAACGGAAACGGAAACGATTCAGACAGAGCCCCCCAAAAAAATCATCGAACGACCCACCCACAAAACAACGAAAAGGAACAGCAAACCGAATCGTCTCAAACGCGCAGGGGGGGGATTCAGCCCCGCAACCCATATGTATTTATATACCTGCATACACATGAGCATGCTTGTTTGTGTGTAAGTACGTACGTACGTATGTATGTATGTGTGTACGTGTGTAAGCATGCATGCATGTAAGTGTGTATGTATGAATGTATGTATGCATGTATGTGTGTATGTATGTCTGTCTGTATGTCTGTAGGCATGCATGTACACCTGTCGCCCTCTTACTGTCGCTCCGACCTCTCTTCGCAAGTGCAGTGAGCGCCGGAGCGGACATGTTGTCCTCCTCCGTAGCCATGTTGGCTCGAGTTGGAGAGTGGAGAGGCACTATGTGACTGTGGCTAGCTCTGCAATGCGGCAGTCTCTTCTCGCAGTGGCCGCCCTCTGCGGCGCTGGCGCAGCCGGAAGGGAATCCATCGCGGTGGTGGAATTGGCCAACGAATCTGACGCGACGCGCATAGCCGTCCTCACGTGTGCTGGCCTCTTCAATCGCGATGCGAGCAAGGCGGGCGCAGCGTACACGCTGCTAAATGGCGACGACGTCAAGTGGCTCGATGCCATCGAGGGCATCTCGAAGCCGGCGCTCACATCCAGCGCCGAGTTCATCGACAGGTGTTTCGCGAGCGGCCTTGCGAAGGGCTACATCCGGTACGATCTAAAGTCGCAGCAGGGCCTCTTTGGAAATATCGTGACATTAGCGGCCGTGCTGGATGCCGTCCCCCTTGAAGACGGACATGCCAGCGCGAAGAATGCATCACAGGTCATCGACATAGTGAAGGAATGGGCTGGCTACGACTCATTGGCCGCCACAACTTATATGTACGAGAGACACGTGAACGCTACAACCACGCTGGCGAAGCTGAACCCTGGCCTGGACGTTTATGGTCCGCACAAATTCAACCCTCCGCTCACAGGGAGTCCGAGACTCGAGCTCACCGACTACGTGGTCAAGGAGAGGTTGTTCACGTTCTTCATGAATGATGGATGTATCCCGTTCACAAAAGAACACGCTTTGTTGCAGAGGATGCTGAAGCGTAATCCGTGGCCGAAGCCCATCACCGTGTACGGCTATGATGACACATTTGCTTTGGCCGGTGATTTGTTTGAGGCAGAGACAGATTGCACGAAGGAGCACAATATGGGTCAGGTGGCATCGCAATTGAACAATTTGGCTTTTTATCCAGCTGCCTGCGGCAAACCCCGCCTCACGTGCCTGCGCAACAGCGCAGTAGGAATGAGACTGAGTGTAGGAACAACTCAGTTCCGACAACTGGTCTGAACCGGGACGGGTCGTGAAGTTGATCTCGTCTTCGTCCGCGAGGTAGGGGGAGATCGATTTCACGCCCCGCTACAGTTCAGCGAGCGGTATGAGCTGACGCGGGTCGTGACCTCGACCTCATTTTCATCCGCGCGGTAGGGAGGAGGAGGAGGCGGAGGAGGAGAGGGAGAAAAGAGGACAATGATGAAAAGGCCTCTGAGGGGCTCTCTTGGGGTTTTCTGGGACCTCTTGGAGGCCTCTTGGGGCCTGGTGGGGGCCTCGTGGGGTCGTAGAGTGCTCTTGGCCCGTCTGACGCCTTCGGAGGTCGTCTTGGAGGCCTCTCTGACCGTCTTGGTGCACTCTGGGAGCGCTTCAGGGCAGACTTCGAGCCCTCGTGGAAGCCTCTTTGGCGATCTGGGGGCCCCGTCTTGAGGGCCTCTTGAGCCGTCTTGATGCCGTCCTGAGAGCCTCGTGGCCCATCTTAGGCCGTCTTGGTGTCATCTGCGCTGTCTTGGAAGCCGTCTTGGAGGTCATCCTGGCCGTCTGGAGGACGACAGAAAAGCAGAGAGTGAACTCAGGAACGCGGGGGATTTTCAAGGGGCGCGTGCGGTGACAGAGGGGTGTCTGCCCCAGAAGACTAAGCACACCTTCCAGGCAGCAGGCGGTCATTCTGACACACCCGCTCCGTGCAGGCACGGTGGCGGACTCGCGCAAGCCACCCATCACGGAGCCCATTCTTCAGAACACCGCCGACTCGACCAGCCATCTTTACAACAAGTCTAAGACATACGTGACCATCATCATCGGAGACGGTGACAACATTGAGTTCATGAAGGGGTCCAGGAGAGATTGGATGAAAGATCGCGTGGCGCGGTGCGCAGTGGACAAGTCTCAAAGAGGATGCTTTCCTTTGACTTGGACCATCTCCCCTCATCTTCTATACCTCGCACCCGACTGGCTCCGCTGGTATTATCACCAATCGTACGCAACATCCCACGATTATTTCGTGTTGCCGCCGAGCGGCCACACGTACGCGTACCCAGGCATGATGTTGCAAGAGGATCAACGGAGATTTGTGAGATTGACCGTGGAGGATGCGCATTTGCTCAACACAAGTGGTATTGTAGCCTGTGAGTTCATGGGTTATTGGCACCACGCCATCAACGAATACTTCCCTCGATACTCTGAGCAAAACGTCGTACGTGGCCTCTTTGGTGTAAACGTTCCATACATGATCCCTGTTGCCGAGTTTGGCTTCCGGGAGCAGTTCAAGGTACTTGGCAAAGAAGGTAACGTGGTGCTGTTCCGTCCAAATGAGTGGCGTGGTTCAAAAGATTGTTCCAAGCAGAGCGTCATCAACGCGGCGATATGCAGGGAACATTTCAAGAACGCAACAGAGATGTCGGCGCACATCAATAGTTTTCAGCCAGGCACGGTGGCGGCATTCTATACTACCAGCGATGGCGGGATGGACATGCAGCTTATCTACGACACCGTCAAGCTTCTCGAAGACCACGTCGAAGTCGTAAATCAGGAGGTTCTCGTCGAGATGGCCCTGGCCAGCGCGAAGCATGCAGACTCCGGTGCGGATGCTGTCGTCGTCTGAGCCCTGCCAGGCCGTCGCGAAGGCGCCCCGAGGCGGGCAGGACCTGCTGGTGGGCACTTCGGCAGCGTGCCGCCGGCGGGTGGCAGGAGGGCGCCGCTCCCGCGCGGGGCAGGGGCGTGCAAGAGGCGGGGGAGGAGGAGGGGGAGGGCGGACACCACGGCCCGGCCATGAACTCTCTCCCAGGTGTCATGGCGCCCCCTTCCTCTCTCAACGCGTCTGCTGGGGCCGCGAGGTCTCGGCTGGGTCCGCGTGCAAGTCCACCCCGCTGGATCCCCCAGGCGCCCACGGAAGTGGCACCGGTTGCGCACGTCGCAGCCCCCCGGGGAGCCGCGAGGTCTCGGCGTGAGCCGTGTACGATTCCACTCTGCTGGACCTCCCAGAAGCCCACGAGCGTGGCGACGGCTGCGCACGTCGCAGCCCCGGGGAGCCATGGGGTCTCGACTGGGTCCGCGTGCAAGTCCACTCCGCTGGATCTCCCAGGATCCTACGGAAGTGGCGATGGGTGCGCACTTCGAAGCCCCCCCAGGGAGCCGCGAGGTCTCGGGTGGATGTGCGTGTACTCCTCCACTCGGCCGGACCCCCCAGGAGCCCACGAGAGTGGCGAGCGACAGTTGCGCACGTCGCAGCCCCCAGGGAGCCGCGAAGTCTCGGCCGGATCCGCGTGCAACTCCGCTGCGCCGGACTTCTCGTTGGCCTTTTGAGGCGCGGGCGCGCGCGCCCAACGGCGGGGTCAGGTAGCTCACACCCCGCGGCCGCGTCTTCGCCCCGTGTGCTCTCGCCGCACGCTGGGCGCAGCGGACTTTTCCCCCCTCGTCCTCCTCCCCCCCTCCTCCTCCTCCTCCCTTCCTTCCTTCCTTCCTCCCTTCCTTCCTTCCTTCCTTCCTTCCTTCCTTCCTTCCTCCATCCCCTCCTCTGCTCCGAATCGGCTGCCCGAGTCTCGGCCACGTGCGCCAGACAGCGTCTATCCGCTGACTGCCTGCTGGGTCGGTTTCGCAACTCGGCCTGGGTCAGGGGCATGTGTCCGCAGGTCTTTGTCTTTGTTGCTGTTGATGATGATGTTGGATTGGTTGTTGTCGTTGATGTTGCTGTTGCTGTTGCTGTTGCTGGTGTTGCTGTTGGTGCACCTGCAGTTGTCATTGTTGTTGTTGGTGGTGTTGTTGTGATTGTTGTTCATGCTGTTGTTTATTTCGTTGTTGGTGTTGCTGCTGGTGGTGTTGCTGATGGTGTTGTTGCTGTTGTTGATGTTGCTGTTGGTGGTGATGTTGGTGTTGCTGTTGTTGGTGTTGTTCTGCTCCTGGGTTTACAACAACAGCGGCTACCGCCGAATACTTCCTCACTGTTCATTCTCAAAATCGCGCTCTCGCGCGGGACGTCCTCACAATCTATGCAGAAATCGCGCTCTCGCGTGGGACGTCCTCGCCATGTATTCAGACGCCGCTCCCTCGACACTCATGAATCACGCTCTCTCGTGCTTCATCCTCCTCCCTCCCCCTTGTCCCTTCCTTCCATCCGTCCTCTAGTCCCCTGCCCTAGGGGCTGCACGAGATACACGCTGCAGGTAAGAAAGATGTACCCCTAAGGGGGTACGGTCGAAGACGAAGAGGGCGGGTACCGAGAGTTTGGGATAGACGTGTTGAATGGCACGCGAGCAGATAAGAGCGAACAATATCAAAACGAATGCTGTTGTTGATTGTCGCGGTGTTGTTGTTGCTGCTGCTGCAGTTGTTGTTGATGTTGTTGTTGCTGTTGTTGTTGTTGGATTCTCATCTCTGAAGAATAGCTCCTGTTGATCCCCCCTGCCCGGCAACCACTGTAAGTGCATGTGTAAATGAAAATGCTTATCCTGGGGCTCTTACCTTGCTTTTCCAAGGGAAAGTTGCTTTTCCAAGGGAAAGCGAAGGGTCACCAGACTGTGTTGTTGGCCCACGAACTGCAACAACAACGGTTCCGGCCTGATACGTCCTCACTATGTGTTCCCAAATCGCGCTCTCGCGCGGGACGTCCGAACAATGTATGCAGGAATCGCGTTCTCGCGTGTGACTTCCTCACCGCTTATTCAGACGCCGCGCCATCGCCACTCAGGAATCACTCTCTCGCTGTGGATTTCCAGACGATTTAGTTGGGAATCGCGCTATCGCTCGAGATTTCCTCGCGATTCGTGCAGGACGCACGCTTCAGCAACCCGCCTGCTCGACCTGGCCGCCTGGGCTCGCCTTCCCGACCCGCCCGCCCGTTAGGGTCTACCCGCCCGATCTGCTCGTCTGGTTCTGCCACGTGCTTTTTGCTCCTAGCCCTCCTCCTACTACTCGCTCTCGTGCTCCATCCTCCTCCCTCCCCCTTGCCCCTTCCTCCCCTCCGTCCTCTAGCCCCCTGCCTTAAGGGCTGCACGAGATACACGTTGCAGGTAAGAAAGATACGTAGCACCCCGCAGATGCGGATAAGAGTGAAGGGGCGGTGGGGACGTCGGCAGTTTGCGAGACTCGGGAGAAGCCCGCCGAGAGCGCCAAAGTTTCTCAAATTATACAACGAGCCCGCCGCAGGCGCCGTCTTTTCTTTAAACCAGCGTGGGTAGGTCGCAAATGGGTCACGGGTGGGTCGCGGGCGGGTCGCTGTTGGGTCGCCGGTGGGTCGCGGGTGTCAAGGGCAGAAAATCCACCCCATAATAATCACCCCGACAAGCGAAGCCATTTAGTAAACGCACACAAGGAATGAATCGAACATGGGAGGGCTGTTTAGTAAACGCCCCGAGCCGTCTAGTAAACGTCAATTGTCGGGTCCGAGTGGTTGTTCGTCCCTTGAGGGTGGGTCGCGGGGTGGGTCGCGGGTGGGTCGCGGGGTGGGTCGCGGGTGGGTCGCGGATGGGTCGCGGATGGGTCGCAGGGGTGGGTCGCGGGTGGGTCGCGGGGTGGGTCGCGGGTGGGTGGGTCGCGGGTGGGTCGCGGGGTGGGTCGCGGGTTGGGTCGCGGGTGGGTCACGAGTGGGTCGCGGGTGGGTCGCGGGGTGGGTCGCGGGTGGGTCGCGGGTGGGTCGCGGGTGGGTCGCGGGTGGGTCGCGGGGTGGTCGCGGGTGGGTCGCGGGTGGGTCGCGGGTGGGTCGCGGGGTGGGCGGGGTGGGTCGCGGGGTGGGTCGCGGGTGGGTCGCGGGGTCGCGGGGTGGGTCGAGGGTGGGTCGCGGATGGGTCGCGGATGGGTCGCAGGGTGGGTCGCGGGTGGGTCGCGGGGGTGGGTCGCGGGTGGGTCGCGGGTGGGTCGCGGGTGGGTCGCGGGTGGGTCGCGGGTTGGGTCGCGGGTGGGTCACGAGGTGGGTCGCGAGGTGGGTCGCGGGTGGGTCGCGGGGTGGGTCGCGGGTGGGTCGCGGGGTGGGTCGCGGGGTGGGTCGCGGGTGGGTCGCGGGTGGGACGACGACAGCAAACAACAACAACAACAACAACACCAACAACAACAACAACAGCAACATCAACAGCAACAGCAACAGCAACAACAACCATCTAAATGTTGTTCGCTGTTATTTGCTCGAGTGTCCGTCAACGCGTATTTCCCAGACCCTCGATACCCGCCCTCTTCGTTTTCGATCGTGCCCCTTTTGGTATACCTTTCTTCCCTGCAGGCTGGGCCCCAGCGAGCGGCGGGGCGGCCGCGGACCGTCGGCCTGGCCGGCGGCAGCGCTGATCGGCGGCAACCCGACCCCAATAGGGACGGACAGGGAACCGACGACGACGACGACGACGACGACGACGACGACGACGGCAACGACGACGACGACGACGGCTGAGACGAGCGAGCGAGAGCGAGAGAGAGAACGACAGCAGGGCCACGAAGGGCACGAACTGGGCCACAAAGGGCGACAGCGGGGGCACGATGGGAATGCGTATGGGGCCACGAAGAGCGCGAACGAGCGGGAGCCGCGAAGGGCAGATAATGCGGGGCCACAGAAGGCAACGACGGGGCCACTGAGGGTAGCAACTGGGCCACGCAGGGCAGCGAGGGGGCCACAAAGGGCGACAGCGGGGCCACGAAGGGCATTCACATGGGGCCACGGCGGGCGCGAACGAGCGGGGGCCACGAAGGGCGTAATACTTATATTGAGCCGCGGAGGGCAAAGACGGGGCCGCTGAGGGCAGCAACGGGGCCACGGGCAGCGAGGGGGCCACGAAGGGCGACAGCGGGGCCGCGAAGGGCATGCATATGGGGCCACGAAGGGCGCGAACGAGAGGGGGCCACGAAGGGTATGCCACGAATGGCTGCAACGGGGCCACGAAGGGCAGCGAGGGGGCCACGAAGGGCTGCAGCGGGGCCACGGAGGGCAACGAGGGGGCCACACGGGTCTGCAACGGGGCCACAAAGGGCAGCGAGGGGGCCACGAAGGGCGCGAACGAGGCCACGAATAGCTGCAACGGGGCCCCGAAAGGCAGCGAGGGGGCCACGAAGGGCTGCAACGGGTCCGCGAAGGGCAGCGAGGGGGCCACGAAGGGCTGCAACGGGGCCACGAAGGGCAGCGAGATCCCGATTCTTAGGTGATTTGTGAGGGGGTCCTAAGCGTGAGCGCGACCCCTGGGTGCCTGAGTGTCGGGAGCGCGGCGCTTGAGTAAACTGCAGGAAACTCCGACGCAAGGGCGCTATTGTTTAGCAATTCGCTTGCAAGTCTCCAGCGAGAGCGCGACTCCAGAGCGCCGAGTCAGCGATTCCTGGATAAATTGTGCGAGAGCGCGGTTCATGGCTAAAATGCGAGGAACTCTCGGGCGGGAGCGGGGGTCCTGGCTAGATTGTGAGGAAGTCTCAGGCGGGAGCCGTTGTTGTTGTAATCCAGGGGCCAGGGGCGCAGTTTCAGGACGAAGAGCTTCCTGTATAAAAAACAGGATGCGAGCGCCAGGAAGGGCACTTAACTTGAAAAATACAATGTTCACTGGCGGGGGATCAACTATAATTATTCATCAGCAGTGGAAGTCCAACAACAACAACAGCAACAACAACAACAAAAGCCCAACAACAGCAAGAACGCAACAAACATAACTTTCACAACGAATTTACGATGCAGCCACGCACCCAGGGACAATGAATGACCGTTCTACCCACAAGTGATACGATCGAAGACGAAAAGGGCGGGCATCGAGGGGTTCAAGTATACATGTTGAGTGGCCCTCGAGCAGATAAGAGCGCACAGTATTCACATGATTGGTGCTGACGGTGGTTATGTTGTTGGTGTTGTTGGTGGTGTTGTTGTTGTTGGTGTTGGTGTTGGTGTTGGTGTTGGTGTTGTTGTTGTTGTTGTTGGTGGTGTTGTTGTTGTTATTGTTGTTGTTGTTGGTGCCGGTGTTGGTGTTGGTGTTGGTGTTGGTGTTGGTGTTGTTGTTGTTGTTGTTGTTATTGTTGTTGTTGTTGTTGGTGGTGGTGATGGTGGTGGTGGTGGTGCTGGTGGTGGTGGTGGTCGTGGTCGTGGTCGTGGTGGTGGTGTTGCTGCTTCTGTTGGTGCTGCTGTAGCTGTTGCTGCTAACACAAAAAGCGGAACAAGCTGGACCTGCCAGGAGCCCACGAGAGTGGCGACGGGTGTGCGTTTCGCAGCGCCCCGGGGAGCCGCGAGGTCTCCGCTGGGTCCGCGTATAATCCCAATCCGCTGGACCTCCCAGGCGCCCACGAATGTGGCGACGGTTGCGCAGCTCGCAGCCCCCCCCCCACCAGTGAGCCGCGAGGTCGCAGGTGGATGTGCGTACTCCTCCACTCCGCTGGACCTCCCATGAGCTCACGAATGTGGTGACGGTTGCGCACTTCGCAGCACCCAGGAAGCCGCGAGGTTTCGGCTGGATCCGCATACAACTCCATTCCGCTTGACATCCAAGGAGCCCACGAACGTGGCGACAGTTGCGCACTTCGCAGCGCCCCCATGGGGCCGCGAGGTTTTGGCTAGGTCCGCGTGCAAATACATTCCGTTGGATTTCCCACGATCCCACGAACGTGGCGACAGCTTCGCACTTCGCAGCGCCCCAGAGAGCCGCGAGGTCTCGGCTGGGTCCGCGTACAACTTCATTCCACTGGACCTCCCAGGAGCCCACGAAAGTGGCGACGGTTTCGCAGTTCGCAGCCCCCCCATGGAGCCGCGAGGTTTCGGCTGGGTCTGCGTACAACTTCAATCCCCTGGACCTCCTAGGCGCCCACGAGAATGGCGACGGTTGCGCAGTTCGCAGCCGCCCTATGGAGCCGCGAGGTCTCAGTTGGATGTGCGTACTCCTCCACTCCGCTGCACCTCCCAGGAGCCCACGAACGTGGCGACAGCTGCGCACTTCGCAGCGCCCCAGAGAGCCGCGAGGTCTCAGGTGGGTCAGCGTACAAATCCACTCCGCTGTCTCCCAGGAGCCCGCGAAAGTGGCAACAGTTGCGCACTTCGCAGCCCCCCAGGGAGCCGCGAGGTCTCGGCCGGGTCTGGGTACATCTCCACTCCACTGGACTTTTCAGGAGCCCCACGAAAGTGGCGACAGTGACAGTTAGCAGGTCGTAGCATCCCAGGGAGCCGCAAGGAGGAGGAGGAGGAGGAGGAGGAGGAGGAGCAGCAGGAGGAGGAGGGGGGAGGATGGACGAAGGACGGCGCGGACGCTCGAGGTGGAACGCTGCCAGTGGGCCAGAACGGGCCAGTACGGAAGATCTGGCGATCGAAAAGCCGCCGATCGTTCAATTGGGGGCGGCCAAGAGGGGGGTGATGACTAGGGGGGGATATCATGGCGTGGGCCATGATATCTCACCAGAGTTCATGGCGCCTCTTCCTATTTCATTACGTCCCTGGCCCCCCCTTGGGCCGCGCACGTGCCGCCGGCCATGGTTTGCGCCCCCACCTCTGGGACGCTCGCCTCTCGGCCGCCCCGGAAAAGCCACCGATCGTTCAAGGACGAACGATCCATGTGGTGTCCGAAACCAACGCTGGGGTCGTCACGACACGAACTTGCCGCAGACGGGGTCGGTGGATCGCGCCGTAGCATTGCTGCATCGGCGATCGGGCTCGGAGCCGTATCTTCTCCATCTCGACGCATCGGCGATGCGGCGCGATCTTCCGGCCCTGTCTGCTCGGACCCCATGTGGGCGGCCTCCGCATCCAGACCCCCAGGCAGGGCGGGGGGACATGCGCAGGCCATCCGCCCAAAGATCCACCATGTTTGGGGGGCCAGACCTCTTCTCTCGAGCATTCCCTCGTCCCCGCGCAGCCTCCTCGGGCACCCACGGAGAGGCAGCCGAGACCTCTTTGCGGTTGTCATGCGTGTTTCAGCCTCTCCTCCTCCGTCGCCTCCGTCCCACCTCCCTTGAGTGCCGCCGATGTGGCTCACAAGGGCCCTTGAGTCATCTGGCGCACAGGGCGCGCCCTGGCCCCCGCAAAAGGAAAAGGAACGTGCTCTCTTCTAGCACGCAGGGGTCCCCCTACTTGTACTTCGTGTCTCTGTGTACTCCATGCAGCTACCTCCGTACAGGCCACACACACACACACACCCCGAGCGGGCGCGGAGGTGCAGCGTGGCAGCGCGGCGTGGCTTCCAGAGCCGCGCCCCGCGCCTCGCGGCGGTCCGGGCCCCGGGGCCGCCCACTGTTCTCCGCGCGGGGGCGGCGCGAGGGCGCAGAGTCGAGCAGTGGCGAAGCGCCCTGGCTCGCCTGTAGGCCTACCAAACAATCTTCTGAGAACCTGTTGTGGTTTCCACGAAATGTTCTTTGGAGTCTTCGAGCATTTCTGGCGGTGCTCGTGCAGTGCGGAGCGCCGCTGTCGCGAGGGCGACCGCTGGATCGCGGAAGCGGCCGCGAGATCGCGGAAGGTGGCCGAGGCCCCCCACGGTGGAGTCGGGCCTGTGCCTCTACAGGAGGGATGTTTAAAAACAGTGAGAAGAATAGTCTGGGGACGATGCTTCGATTGTTGTTGAACTGTCATTGAGAATTTATTGGCTACTGCTCATCTTCTGTCCAAGACCCGCCTGTAGGGGGACGTGCCCGACCCCATCCCACAGCCCCGTGGCGAGGCAGCTCTGGGAGCTCGAGCACCAGCTGCGCGACGGCGACGCTGGCCGCACGGGGCTGAGCCCTGGGGCGCTGCTGAAGGCGCCGAAGCCCCGCCGCGCCGCATCCGAGGGAAAGTTCTCAAGGCCCTGGAGTCCGGCGGTCGCGAAAAGGCTGCTCCAGGGAAGGAACGCACTGAGCATGACCAAGGCGTCGCGCGATCTTGTCGACGCCGATCCCAGTCATGGTCCATGCGGGCCGTCGCCGAGTCGCTAGGATGGTCCACGAGCTGACGCTGATCAAGATGGGCGGTGACCAAGATCGACACGGTGTTTCTCGACCAAAAAAAGACGACACCACCCTACCCAGGGCCCTCCCTGTTGCACAACGGGCCATCGGGCGCCGTAGCCTATACCACGCAAAACCCACGCTAATGTTTTGGCCACACGCTCAGCCACCTGGGGCCGCAGGTGGGGTGGTGTCGCTTATTTTCTGGCTCAGTTTCCGCGTTCAGCCTTGGCCCTGGCCCCCGTGTTCTTCCCCTCCACCTGCAGCATCTGGGGAAGCCATTGCCCGTAGCCGCCCCCTCGACCCCCCCTTCTCTCTCTGCGCCGACGGCGCGCGAGAGTGAGCCCTCGCTGGGGAGTGCGACCGTGCCGGCCCGCCAGGGTCCGCCGATCGCCAGGCACGATGCGTCAGCAGCGTCTCGCGTGCTTGGGTTTGCCGCTTGCTCCCCCCCCTCTTCCTCCACCCTCCCCGCGCCCTCCTGAAGCCGCGCACCACAGGTCGATGTCGCCTGGGGCCCAGGACCGGACCATTCTGGCTGGCCTCGGCATCGCTCGGGCGCGTGCAACTCTTTCCGGCGGGGACCGTCGAGGAGCGCTCGAGGCCACCCTGCGAGACACGCGCGCACCAGAGCCGAAACATGCGCGGGGCGTGGACGTCCGAGCGATGGCGAGCCGCGTGTGGCCGAGCTGCAGCACTTCGCGAGCCGGGTCGATCCGCGAGGGGCCCGGGCGAGAGCGCCTGGCACTGGAGGGGCCCATAAGTTGTGGCGCTGGGAGCTCGGCGGGGGGTCCGCGCCAGGAGGGGCCGGGCCTGCTGGGGCCTCAAGACGGTCTGGTGAGCGCGCCATCCCCAGACTCCCTCGAGTCGTGACTGACAGAGTCACGACGGGGGGTGTTTCATAATTTTTGGCCTCGGGGGGCCCTTACGGGGCCTCAGCACCGTCAAAAACGACTCGGGCTGAAAAACCAGTCCCGGGGAATGGGTCGAAACCTCTGGGGGTCGACGTTATGAAAAAAAACATCACGTCGGGGGCCTGGGTCTGGGGAGCTCGTCGCGACTCGGGCTGAGCGAGTGGCTTTGGGACCGGGGTCGCTGTTCTATGGGGATCCCTCGAGCGCTCGGGGCCCATGCTTGGCATCGCTCGCGGACGTGTGCATTTTCCTTTGGCGAGGGCCATCGAGGAGCCTTTTGGGTCACCTTGGGAAAAAATACGCGCGCGAAACCAAAAAACACACGGGGAATGGACGTCCGAGCGATGGCGAGCATCCCAGACACCCGACGTCATGATTTGTTCATGACGTCTAGGTTTTCGACCTAATCCCCAGGACCAGATTTTCATCCTGAGTCGTTTTTTGACGGTCCTGAGGCCCGGGAAGGGCCCCCAGAGGCCGAACACATGAAAAACCTTTGTCGCGATTTTTTCATTACTCGAGGGGGTCTGGGATGGGTCCCAGAGCCGTCGGGTGACGGGCCGTCCGGGGAGGTCTTGTCAGGTTTTGAATTGTGGACGGCGATCAACGGAGAGGAAGCATGTTGCCAAAGAATTTCCAGATGTGCAAAAGCATGGTTCCAACATGCCCCAAACATGTAAACGAAACATGTTCGGCACACTGTTAGACCATGTGCCTACATGTCAAACACGTTTTTTTCTCAATGACGGGATTGGTAGGGCGTCCACTGTCAGGGCATCCGCAAGTCTTGAGAGCTGTCCCCAGGCGGCGCCTGGGGGGGGGCCCCGCCACGTGCCCGAGAGGGGCGGCCGGGGCCCTGCCCCCGCCGCCGGGGGCCCCCGCCAGGCCCTTCGCCGCGCCCCCTCGAGCAGGGCCTTTGCTGCGTGTTCCCGCCCGCGCCTGCCTCCCATCCCAGGCCCCCTCGCTCCAACAAACAGGGGAGGAGGAGGAAAAGGAGGACAAGGAGGAGGAGGAGGAGGGGGAGGAGGAGGAGGAGGAGGAGGAGGAGGAGGAAGAGGAGGATGAGGAGGCGGAGCAGGAGGAGGAGGAGGCGGAGGAGGAAACCAGGAAGAAGGCACGACGGGAGGTTTTTTCGCTATCCTGTCGGCCTCTGCAGGGCCGCTCTACCAGGCCTCGGGGCCGGGCAAGAAACACGTCGGGATGAAGAGCCTGTCCCCGGGAACGGGTCGAGACCTCGGGGGGTCGACGTGATGAAACAGTCAAGACGTCGGGGGTCTGGGATGCCGTCTTCCTCCTCATCCTATTCCCCTCCGTGGCCGTTTTGGCTCGACCTGAAGCGAGAGGCGAGGGCCCGTGGCGAGTCTCCTCTGAGATTCCATCGGCCCTGTTCTTGCTGCTGAGTTTTGGCACTGTCGTTGGCTACCCGTCTTTGCGTTGTGGCGGGGGCGCCCTCAACAGCGAATCCGCACGTCGCGCCGGGCCGGGGGTCGACGGTGCCCAATCAGTCGTACCGCTGGCCGCGGGGCAGCGACTTCGATGCGGGGCCAGCGGTCTCCCCGAAAGAGCCTCGACCATTCTCCCCATCCAGGGGGGGCCCATGCCAAGGAGCACCCTGCTCGCCTCCAGGGTGCCCTGAGCTTCTTGGGTTTCGACGGCGTTGCCATGAAAGGCGTGGCGCTCCCGACACCAAGAAGCAGTGGACGTCCTGGGGTCTCAGTGTTGGGGTTTCCTGTGGAAGGTCTCGTGTGGACGGGCCTCCACCGTAAGTTTTTTTGTGTCAGCGGCGACGAGGAGGCACGAAGGCCTGCGCAGCAGAAGCCGGGACGCGGCCGAGTCAATTGCGCCCCGAGTCTCATGGGCAAGCAGGGGAGCGGTCGCGGAGGCGGGCGCACTGTGCGTCGCCTCGCTGCCTCAAGGGGCGACGCGCGCGCCGAGAAGTCTTGTGGTAGATGCTCTGTGGCGGGCGCTTTCTGGCCGTAGACCCCTCGGGAGACGAGATGCTGCAAGATGGTTGTGTTATATGCTCGGTTCGGACGTGCGCCTCCGAGGAGGACACATAGCACTAGCACTGTGATGTTCCAGCCTACTTCAGCCTTGCTTGCCAGAAAGACTCTCGAGCACCAAGGAGGTACCGAAACTGGAGGGTTTTCACGTGTCGGGCCCCCGGGAGGCGATACTCGTTCGACACCGTTCCGACACGCTTCTGGGAGATCGAACTTCTTTGGGGGATGTGGTCCGTAAGTGCGATGGGAACAGCATGGTACCAGCATGTCCTGCGGCCCACGGTGCTCCGCGGAAGCTCGAGAGCCGCTGCGGGAGGGCCCTGCGACCCTCGGCTGCTCGCGGCGGGGAGCCGACACGGCGAATTATATAGCTCTTGGGAGAGAGGCCGCGCGCCGGCGCTCGCCGAGGCGCCCGTGGCGCACGCGGTCGGCAGTGGGGCCCGGGGCCCGTGGCCTCCACGGCTTGGCATCGCTCGGGCGTGTGCATTTTTTCTCGGCGAGAACCATCGAGGACCATCCTGGACCAGCGAGCAAAGGAAACACGCACGAAGCCGAAAAAAGTACGGGAAATGGACGTCCGAGCGACGGCAAGATGGGGCCCTCCCTCGAAGAAGAGAAGACGCCCTGGGCGCCCCGGCGGGTGGGGCCGGACCTCCTCGCGCGCCGGGGGTCGACTCTGCGAGGACGTCTCGAGCGAGAGCCCTGCTGGGACACGCCCGGCGCTCCGCGCGCCCCGGAAACGGTCCCTGGGGGCGCGGTGGGGCCTAGCGCGCCAGGGTGCGCGCCTCGAAAAAGGTCCTTGGGGGCGCGGTGGAGCCTGATTTCCTCGGGGTGAGGATGATGCAAGTTCCACAGAAGCTCCCTCCAATAATCGCTATGGCCTTGGCCACGTCAACGTCATTCGTTGTGTGTCGTTGTCGTTGGGGCACGATCGGCGGCGTCGTTGCCGTGCTCAGACCGGGTACAACAGTGTATGTCTCGTTGATGCCGCCATCGCTGTGGTGGTTGCTGTGGGTGACGGTGTCCCTCCCTCCCCTTCCATGATCCAGTTTTTCAACCTTGTGCCACACCCTTCAGGTTTATCAGCACTCGTCCTTCCTCCACCCTCCTCAATCCAAGGGGTCCGCGCATGCATGTGCTGGTTTCTCATGCCTCCTCTCTCCCCGAAGGCGTCCATCAGCCGCGAGAAGGACAGGCTCGGCGCCCAAAGCTATGGTATTCCGACGCAGCCTTCTGTTGGTGCATGGCACGAGCACACGTGTATTCCAGAATCGCGCGTTGCTAGACGGTTGCGCTGGTAGTCAAACGTTGAGTTCGGAGCAGGCGGCGCTCACCACGGCCCAAATCCGCTCAAAATCGGTCCCTGGACTCCTGGGCTCCATCCTGACCACTTCTTCGACGCGGACGCAGCCGTGGCAACGAGAAGCTTCCAGGAGACCCAGAAAGGACGAAACCTTCCTGGGAAGGCCGCCGCTGTCTCGCCTGGCCATCTTCCGATCATTTGTTGAGATCCACCAGAGAATCCCCTCCTGGATGCCCTCCTTGACAGCCCCGCGGCTGCCACGCACACGATCCGCGCGGGAGATCCTCCCACCATTCCGCTCGCGTCTGTGTGCGGTTGAGGAGTTGCTTGTCGTTTTGTGAGGGACTTCAGTACTGTTGTGCGAAAGTTGATTTGCCGTTTGTCCTGGCATTTGGGTTCCATTTGTAGAGACTCCTTTCATGCCCGAGCTCAGCGCCGGCCACACCCCCAATCCGGCACGGTGGTCTTGCTTTGAGATGCCAGCCGTCCCCGGATTGGTGATCTTGCCGCTACGGTTCGGCTACGCGTAAGAGTGTCCCTTCGCCGGAGTGACCGTTGGTGCGGGCCCACAGGGATCCTTGCACTGGCTGGAGCGATTCGGCCTCCCCGCGGCCCTCGAGCACCGCGCACCAAAGGTCACTCTTGCCCGGGTCAATGTTGCAAGTAGCAGAACGATGTATTCGCCCGAGCGCATCTCCCACAAATCACAGCCCGGAACGGTGCTCTCTCGCCTTAGCGCCGCCCACATTCCAGTCTGGGGCCCTGTTAGGGCCTCGCCAGCACCTGACCAACGCCATCCTGCCAGCACCCTGCCAAGACCCCACCAGGACTCCACCGGCAACCTTCGCCAGGGCCGTACCAGAGCCCCTCGTCGGGCCCTTGCGCTGTCCCTGTCATGACCCTGCCAGAATCCTACCATGACCTTGCGAGGACACTGCCACGATTGTGCTGGCATTTTGAAAGGAGTTGACCAGGACCCTTCCAGCAGCACTACTAGTAGCTCGACAAGGCCCAAACAGGGATACCGCAGGACCCTACCAGGACATACCAGGACCCTACCAGGACCTCTCCAAGCCAGTAGTCAGCAGGACCCTGCCATGATTTGACCCAGGCTACGAGAACCTTGCCATGCCATGCCATGCTTGTACCATTCGCAAAACGCGCCGTGTGGGTCATATATTGGAAGCTACTATTGTGGCAAAGATGCTTCTGACGGGTCATGACTGCCCCTTGCCTTTGTTGCAATCGCTTACGTGTCCAAACGTCGAAACGCGAAACGGTTTGGCCAAGCTATCGGGCTATGTTCCCATACCTTCATCACAGAAGCCACGTGTATGACATGTTTGAGCTTCGGAGTTTTCTTGTAGCCGCTCTTCAACAGTCTCAAAGGGCCTACTCTGCCGTACTGGTGACATCAGGAGATTTTCCCTGGCCGCCTGGGGATGTTCTTTGAGGCAGATCGGGAAATCCTGGTCTTCTCGCGAGCACATTTCAGCGACGTGAAAAAACGGGGTCGTCTGCGCCGACATTGGCGCGTAAGCTGCCCGCGTCAGGTCGCGCGTCAGCGCCCCCGGTTCCAGCGTAGCGTGCCGCGCCGGCGGCCCGCGCAAGCCGCGGCGCTAGCTTGCTGGATCATCTCGCGTAAGACCCGCTTTTGACCGTCGCCCACTTGGGGTCACATTGAGGCTCTCTTGGGGAGCTCTCGGGCCCCTCTGCCCGCGGTCCCCGGAGCTGCGCCTGGGCTGCATACGCCCGCGCCTCGGCCCGAGGAGAGCCAGTTTGTGGAGAACGCACGGCTTCGAAAGACGCTGTGCAAGATGCAGACCGACCTGCACCTGTGCGTCAGGCGCGCCCGCTCAGCGGGGTGGGGGGGAAGGAGGAGGCGAAGTGCGGAGGGCCACGGGCACGGGGGGGGGGAGTTGAGGAAGAGGCGAGAGGTGAGAGGAGGAGGAGGAGGAGGAGGAGGAGGAGGAAGGAGGGGAGAAGGAGGCTGAGGAGAAGGAGGAGGAAGAGGAGGAGCAACGAGGAGGAGGATGAAGAGGATGAGGCCAGGGCAGGAATAACGCGCAGGAGGAGGAGTTGCCTGCACGTGTGCGTATGAGCACGGCTGTGAGTGTGCGCGTGCATGTCTGTGAGAGCGAGCGCGCGTGCGCGCGCGCCTGTGCGACGGCGCGCTTGCTCGAGCGTGCGCATCCGAATGCGTGTGTTTACGAATATGCGTTCGGTCTGTGTGGTAGGAGTCTGGTGTGGTGTGTGGCGGCATGTATGTGGGTGTGTGTAGGGGTGTGTAGGTGTGTAGGTGTGTAGGCAGGCATATCGACAGGTGGGTATGCGTGCGTGTGTGTGTGTGTGTGTGTGTGTTGTGTGTTGTATGTTGTGTGGTGTGTGCTGTGGGTTGTGTGTTGTGTGTTGGGTGTTTTGTGTGTTGTGGGTTGTGTGTGCGTGCGTATGCAAGTGTGTGTGTGTGGTTGTCTGTTGTGTGTTGAGCTTGTAGTTGTACTCTCGCTTGTGATTGCGTTCTTGTTTGTGCTGTTGCTTGTGCGTGTGTTTGTGAGTGTATGTGTTGTTGTATTGCTGTTTGTGTCTATGTTTGTGTGTTGTTCTTGTGCTTGTGTTTGTGTGTGTGCCTCTGTTTGTTGTTGTGTGTGTGTTTGTGGTTGTGCTTGTGTATGTTATTGTGGTTGTGTTTAGGTGTGTGCATGTTTGTGCGTGTGATTGTGTGTTTGTGTGTGTGTTTGTGTGTGTGCGCATGCGCGTGTGTCTGCGTTTGTGTGTGCGCGTGTACGTGAGCGTGTGCGTGTGTGTATGTGTGTATGTGGCGCGTGATCTGGCACGGCCGCGCGCGTTCTCCCTCTCGACTGCCACGCCGCTGCCATCCGCGCATGGCCGCAACGCCCAAACAGTGTGTGTGAGGGTTTGTGTGTGTCCGTATGTGCTGTGCGTGTACGTGTGCGTGTGTCTGTCTGTGTGTGTGCGCGTGCGTATGAGTGAGCGTGTGCGTGTGTGTGTGTGTGTGCGTGTGTGACTATGTGTGTGTGCGTGTGCGCGTGTGCCCTGCGTGAGCGTGTGGATGTGTGCGTGAGTGTGTGTGTGTGTGTGCATGTGTGCGTGTATGCGTGTGCGTGTGTGCGTGTATGTGGGTGCGTGTGCGTCTGCATGTTCATGTTTGTGTGTGTGTGTGTGTGTGTGTGCGTGTGCGTGCGCGTGTGCGAGTGCGTGTGTGTGTGTATGTGTGTGTGTGTGTTTGAACTGACCTAGAGCGTACCCCGCCTTCGAACCTTGCGAGCCGACCATTGCATCCCATCGGCGCATTGGAGGAACAATTTGCGCGTGTGTCTGTGTGCTTGTAATTTTGTGTGTGGGTTTGTGAGCTCAGACGTCTACGTGTTCTTGTGTGTTGCGCATTTGTGTGTTTGCGTGTTTGTGTGTGCGTCTGAATGCTTGCGTGATTACGGGTTTGCTTGTGCGTGTGCATGCGGAGCGCTTGGTGCTGACCCCGCGGATGCATCGCGACGCGGCGCTGACAAAATCGTGTGCGAGTGTGTGCGCGTGGTCAGAGAAGTGTCACCAAAGGGGTCTTGCGTTTCTTGCCACATGGGTCCATGCGCATCACGGGTGCGGCTGAATCATCAATCATCTCGCCGCTCATACTTCTCTACAGCAGTGGATCGAGTGCCCCCGCGTCCTGGTCGGGCTCTTTCTTGGTGTCTGCAATCTTGGCGTCAGCGCTATACGGAAAGTGGTGTGTTCGCGCGCGGACGCCATCTCCATCACCGACCGGGCGCTAGGTGTCTCTGGCAGTCATGCTATCCGAGAGCTGGACACTGTCAGGGCCGCCTACGATCCGATTTGATGCGATTCGATTCACCAGCTGTGGCCGCAACGTCGATTTGATTCGATCCGGTTCGAGTCATCGGCATCGGCCAGGGCCAGGTGCAGCAGCGCGGTGATCCGATTCCGATCCGATTCTGGCCGATCCGCTGACGGTCCGATCCGTCTCCGACCGGGTCCGAGTCCGCAATTCGATGCAGCTCAGGCCCGACCGTCGTGCGCAGGGTGCGCAGCACCAGGTGACCTGCCGGGGGCGCGAAGATCGTCGCGCTTCGGGCGTCGCGGTCTGGGCAAGAGATCGCCAGAGCGGTTGTCCTTCCCAGGTGCGGCGCGAGGCAGGCCGGCCACAACTGGGGGAGCGGTGGTGCTTACCCCCCTGGGGGACCCATCGATTTCGCAACCCCTCTCGAGAGATCGTCGATGCGATGGGTTCCCCCAGGGGGGTAAGGACCACAGCTCCCCCAGTTATGGCTGGTCGGCGAGGGCGCGAGGGTGCGAAGACCATGATCGCGCCTCGCGGGGCGCGCGGGCGCGAGGTCGGGCGACCCAGGCAGTACTCCCGAGCCCTTCCAGCCGGACTCCCGGCGCTGGCGCACTGGCGGGGTGGTGATTTGGGCCTCCCGGACGGGGTCCCCGAGCAGGTGGGGTCGGAGGATCGTGCCGCATCGATGATGCGGCGCGATGTGGAGCCCATCTTCCTCCGCGCCGACGGCGCTGGTGCATCGCCGACGTCGCCGACGTCGCCGATGCAGCGGCGATGCAGCGCCGAGGAATCGGCGATGCGGCACGATCCTCCGACCCCGTCTACTCGTACTTTCTTCAGGAGGCCTTCAGATGAGGCTCGGTCAAGGGAGGAAAAACCAACCGGACCCGATGACTGGCGTTGATTCAATGCCCGTGGGCGTTTACTAACCAGCCCTGCCCCGTTCGATCCCTTCCCTGGGTGCGTTGACTATGAACGGCTCGGCTTGTCGGGGCGATTCTTGTGGGGGTGGAGTTTCTGCCCCTCTCCCTCGGGGAGGGCGAGGACGAGGGCGGCCGCTCCGATGCGGCGCCCTGCCGTGGGCGCGGGGGCCTCCCGGCGGGCACCTGCTGGCCACATGGCCCGCGGACGGGGTAAAACTCGCCTCTGCTCGGACGGCGCGCCTCGCCGAGGTGGTGCGCCCCCCTTTGGCCCCATCGGGGGCGGAAGCCCGGCGGCGAGCCGCGGGTGAGGGAGCGAGAAGGAGAGGGCCTTCTCCAAGGGCTCCCCCGAGGGCGCGAAGTTATTCGCGCTTCGCGGTCCTCGTTCCTCCTCTCCCTCCTCCTCGTCCTCCTCTTCTCCCTTTGGGAAGGCGGCGCGAGAGCGCGAAGTTATTCGCGCTTCGCGCTTCGCGGAGCGCGAAGCGCGAAGTTGGGAGCCCTAGGAGAAGGAGAGGGCCTTCTCAGAAGCTCCAGGCTTGTGGAGGACGATCAATGAAGGGGAGGCATGCCTGAAACATGCTTCACATGTGTCGCCAAAGTGATAGCATCTGTTCAGAGCATGTTTCGAACATATTTGTCAAGCATGTAGATGACATTGAAAGCACAGTGTTAATTCGCACAAAGGTTAGAGTGTCCATTGTCATGACATCCACCACTCTAGGCCTCCTAGATTGGGTCGGTGCAGATGGCGTTGGAAGATCGCGCCGCATCGCCGATGCATCGGCGATGCGGCTCGATGTGGTGCCCGATTTGCCTCACAAGCAAAGGCCTTCTCAGAAGCCCCGGAATCGAAAAAGAAAAAACGCCATACGCATAAATTACATACATGTTCGACGCTCCGCGCGGACTTCTTGGATCTGCGTTGGGCCCCCCCAGGGCGGCGTCTCCGGAGCCGCCTCTTGCGTTCTCCGCGCGCCAGGGAAGGGTTTCTAGCCCAGATCCAAGACATCCGCGCGGACCTCCAAAAGTTTATGTTTATGCCGTTGTTTCTTCCTCTACGAAAGTCCTCGGGCTTTCTGAGAGGCTTTTCCCCCAAAGATGCAGGAGAAATTTCTCAGAAGGCCAGAGGGCTTCTGAGAGAAGCCCCGCCGCCTTCTGACAAGGCCTTTTTCCCCCTCTCCTTTCCCCCCCTCGCTCGCCGCCGAGAAGCAGCGGCCGGGGATGAGGAGCCCGTCTCATGGCCCAAGAGTTAGTGATGGTCCAGGAGATGGATCATCGGACGGGGCTAGGACGAGGACAGATCCAGTCCAGAGCGTTTCGGAACGCTCTCAGGGCGTTCTCGGAACGCTCTGAGAAGGCCGCGGCGCCCGAGACATCCTCCAGAGCCGCCAGGTCTCAGAGATTCTCAATCTATCCTCACCCGATGTGGTAGATGTCCTGGCCTCGTGTATTAGATGAGGTCCAGGACCTCGTGATGGCCCAGGTCTTGGGGATGGTCCAGAACTCAGGGATGGTCCAGGTCCAGGAGATGGATAAGGTCCAGGACTTGGTCTGGGGGGAAGGCCCCGGGGGCCAAGACCCGCTTCCATCACTTCGGGGGAGGAGAAGGCACCGATACCGCTACCCTTCCCTCGTTTTCGCCTGTTGGGGGCCTCCTGGGAGGCCCTCGTCGCCACGGCTGGGTTCGCTTTGCAAATCTGGTCAGGACGCACCCCGGGAGAGGTCTGGGGAGTGAGCGGTATCCGAACCTGGTGGTTTTCCGACTCAGGATCCGTTTTTTTCTTTCGTGGTTAACGAGTTTCGATCACAGTTGGCAGTTGTTTTGAGCAACGCTGTGCCGCCTGGACCCGCCGCCTGGATGCCATCGCAGTGGGCCGCTAACATAAAGGCTTGTGTGTGTGCGCGTGCGGCCGCCCAAGGTTCTGGCGCGAGGATTCCCGAGGTTGCCGCAGGGGCACGCAGACGCGTTTCCCCAAAATCCCCCTCCATCTCTCCCGTCTTCCTCCAACAGGCGAGCCCAATTTATCTTCGTTCATCTTCCCGCCATGTCCCTCCCTCCCGCGTCGTTCTCCGCCACCCCTTGCACCTCATCTTTCATCTCCCACCTGAAGCATGCGGGGCGAGAAGATAGACCACCAAAGAGTTCCATGCCACCCGTTTCGATTGTCAGAGCTCGTAATTCAACCGAGTCTCCATTATTGGGCGTGAGCGAGTTCGTGTTCTGGGAAGCATGGGCATGCCGGCAGGCGATACAACGAGCAGCGAGACGCCATCAAGAAGTACCAGAGCAGTCCTCCGATTGAGCTGCGCCCTTACAGCCAGAGCGCACGCCCTCGCGTACGTGTTGCCATCGCAGAATTGGTTCAAGATCGATGTGGCGTTTTCTGGGAAGGTCCCCGAAGAACGCAGAAGCTCGTATGATGAAAGGTGTGCGATACGATGAATCATCGCCTCTGGTTGTTTTCCCATGCCCATCATCTTCTTGCCACCTTTTTACCACAACTGGTCCGGCCCACATCCAGATCCATTGGGGGGAATCAAGCGAAGTAGCCGGTCGCAAACGCTAGTTCCCCGAGGGGCCTAGCTTCCGGTCATGATACCGCTGGTGCGCAAGATGTTCGGGTTCAGGTTCCGCATGCGAGAGATTCCCACTGTGGTTACGGGGTCCAAATCATACGCGTAGGTAGCACGCAGACGTGTCTACTCCGCCCTCGTCGTCCTCGCTTGTCGTCCTCGCGCTTCTTCTCCCTGCCCTCTTCCTCCTGCTCCTCCTCTGTCACCTCCGTACATTCGGGTGAATATTGTTGGTAGTGACGTGTTTGATCGCGCGTGGACAGATAGGAAGCACAGTCGCGCGCAGACGTACGCGCGCGCACGCGCACGAGCACGTGCTCAAGATGGGACTCGGGCGCGGGTTCGGTGCCACGTTCGCGCGCGGGCTCGGGCTCGGGATCCGATTCACGCCCGCGCCCGGGCCTGCGCACGCGCGCGCGCACGAAGACGCACACGCTCACGCATGCGCGCACGCATGCGCGCGCACGCGCACGCACTGCCCCCGTTGGAGAGCGAAGCGTGACTACACGAATTGCAATCTAGGGCACCCACCGATTAGCCCAATGCCACCCACCTCTCGCCATCCTGCTTATAGCTTTGAAGCCCTCAGCAGAGTGAGGTTCCAGCGACCAATGTTTACGAGGACAAGTGGTTCCAGCAGCTTATGCCGACAAGGAGGGCGGGTTCAGCACCCAATGCTTACGAGGGGCTATGGTTCCAGCAGCCAGCGGTGTGAGTTCAAACGCCCCATTTCGATGAGGGAAAGTTGTTTCAGCAGATTCTGCCGACAAGGAGGGTGGGTTGTCGTCTGAAAAGGCGGCTGGGGCAACCCGCGCCCCAGCCACCAATCCGACCACAGCCCGTTAAATAAATTACGAGCAAACGAATCAGCAATCGTTGTCCTATTCATTGTTTTTCCTTCGGCGCGGGCCCTAGCGCCCCCCCCCGCCCCCAATGGAGTAGACGTTGGCTGTTTTGGGCGCCTGTTTCAAGCAGGTGGGGTCTCCCCCAGAGGACGCGCTGTTGTAAACAGTCGCATTCAGCAGAGGTCTGGAACCAGATCCCCCCCTTCCCCCCCCTTCCGCCAAATGTCGAAATGCCGAATAAGAAAGCTATCGCTCATATAATTGTAATCGCGTTGCTTCCGCTTCGTCTTGGTCATTCTCTCTTCTGCATATCCTTTTCGTCTCTTCTTCCTCGCTTAACCTTCTGCGAAATTCTTCACCCTCTAGTATTCATTTTCGTTCATGTCCAACGATCTCACCGCACAACGCACGTACGTGTGCTACGCGCTACAATCGCGCCGCAGCGAAGCTCGTAACCAGACGACACATACGGTCGCACTACATGGCGCAGTTTCGCCGTCCGGCGTCGTGGCCCTTCGCAGCTGGCACAGATCCTTAACACGGTCATGCGATGCGAGGGCCCCGCGCACGTGTGCGGGTTACGGTGGTTGAAGAGTCTCGACGTGGTGCTGGTGGCACGATGGCGTTGGAGGTATTGCTGGGCTTCTAGGGGCCCAGGGTCTTGTGGCAGAGCTGCTGGGCGCTAGCAAGGTATCATGGGGTCACCAGCTGGACACGATTCGATTCGATGTCTGTTGCCCCCACCAATTCTTCCCGACCTGGCTCAACACAGCGCGCGCGTTCGAGGATAACCCGTCAGTTCTTGGTAGGCGCGTTTGGCACCGCGCCGCCCACCGCGCATAGCCCAGCCTCACGGGTCTGGCCGTTGTCCCTACCGCGCACCCCACCAGGCAACCACGGTTCAACTATGACCGCCGATGTGGGCACGGGAGATTGTGCCGCGATCCCACGCATATGGGATTTCACACATTTGCGTTCAACACATATCGGGTTCCACGCGCAGACATAGCTTCCCAAACAGTCCGAAATCCACGAACACACATATGTTTCTACACACAACACACCAAACATGTTCACACGTAGGGATCCGTGCGTACGGTTCCATCCGTAGGGGCTTCGCACATACGACTCCAAGCAAGTAGGGTTCCAGGTGCGTCTAGCTTCACACATTCAAAGTAGCCCCGCGCCCACCTACATGTTGGGTCCACGAATAGGATTCCACACGCATGCTCCACGCGTCCACAAACTTCGCTGCTTACGCACGGGATTTCACACATATGGTTCAGGGCACCGGGTTCCGCATGCAAGGCGCGACACGTATCGGTCTCCAAACACCAATAGTTTCCACGCGCACACACACACACACACTCACACCAACACGCGCCCACACACACACACACACACATTCACACACACGCACACATGTTTTTGATCCGCGGGTCGACAGCGCACCTCTTCCGGTCGAAGCTAAGCGACACACGCACACACGCACACACATACACAAACACACACACACACACACACGCCCACACACACACACACACAAGCACGTCCACACACACACACACAAACACAAACACACGTCCACACACAAACACACACATAACTATGTTTTGGCGTCGCGGCCAAGCGCGAAGCGACGCGGCGGAGGCCGTCGGAAAGCCGGAGCGGCGCCCGAAGCGCCGCCGAGGCCACATACGAGCTGCACGGGACTCGTCCGCGGCGCAGCGAAAGATGCACGGGGCGCACCCCCAGGGAACCGAGAGGGGGCAGCGCGGAGCGCACGGGAGCGCACCGACATGGCTGATGACGGACCGCGAGGGGTCGGCAAGTAGGCAGAGGCGAAATGATTGGATCTACAAGGAGGGCCGCAAGCACACAACCACACACACACACACAGAGATGCATTGTTCCACACGCGTGTGGGGTCCACGCACACGAGCTATCTAAACACACGGACATATGGTGCTTCGCGTGGGGTTCCACACGCAGGGTCCAAACATGGGACTCCATGCGTGGGTTTCCACACGTAGGGTGCCAGACACACAGGGTGCACGCACAGTGCTCAACCCACACACATACGGTTCCATACACGTAGTGCTCTACACCTGAGGTTCCATACACATAGGGGTTCCATGCTGAGGCGGCCCGGGGGTATAACCCACAGCAGCGCTGGCATGCGTGACGGCAGCCGCACTTACCTGGCAGGCTAGACACCTCCTGAGGGCGCAGGGCAGAAATGTCGGCCTGACGGTGCTGCAATCTTGGCGCCGAGGATTCGTTGGGCGGCAGCAGACAGGCCAGCGACGATGCCCAGGCAGCTCGTGTTCGCCATCGTTGATGTAGAGATCGCGCAGCTCAGCGGAGCGAGAGTGAGCGCCGAATGGGCACGGTGACAGGCGCTCACGGGCCTCGTCTTAGCATGGATCTTTCGAGCAGTTGGGATGGTCAGGCGATGCGCTGGATCGAATGCTGGCGGCGGGCCTGGATAGCAGCGGGCGCGCACGGACCCGCACAGGGACCATCGTGGACCCGCGCCTCATTTCGTCGAGGGCGCGGTGACGAAGCTTGGAGCAGCATATGACGGAGTTGGCGGGCTGGTGGTACCTTGAGGACGGTATCGCTTGGCAGTCGTCACGGGACTTGTGCGCGAACTGTACGGCGATGGCGTTCCGGCGGCAAGGGCCGGACATTTTGGCGACCCACTTCCCCGCGCCGGAGCAGGCGGGCGGCATGAGCAGGTCGCGGAGCAGATTTGCGCTCGGGCCCCGCGTGGAGAGACACCCTGGCGCGCAGGCGAGGCAACCCCCGGGGCCTGCCGCGAGGCCTCGGCGCAGCGCCGACCCTGCGCAAGGCTGGCCGTCAACTTCCTGTGCGGGGGACGTGCCAGATCTGCGGCCGCGGAACCGCGCAGGCACCCCCGAGCGCCAGCGCAGAGTGGAGGCGGACGATGCTCCGCACCAGCTGTGGCGCACAGGTCGGGGCAGCCGCCTGCTGTCGCTCCCCAGTTCCAGCGGGCCCCAGTGGACAGCGGCGCGACCAGCGCCCGGGGGCTGCCGCGGTGCCCGATGCGGCGCCCTTCTCGGACCAGCTCGCCGCGCTCGTCGAATACGCCGACCCAGACCCGCCACCGCGCTGGGGGCGCGATGCAGCTCTAGCGGCGGCAGCAGTGGCGTCGGCTGGCAGCGTACCGCAACAGCCTGGCGACGCGGCTGCGGCGAGCCAAGTGGAGCCCACAGCCACGGCGTGCGGCTTGCCAGCGCAGGCAGACCGCAGATTGCGGGCAGGAGTGCCGCAAGCGCGTGGGACCTGGATCCCCCGTGTGGTGGCCGACGCGACAGAGCCGCGGCTGACCGTGCCAGTGGTGGAGCCCCCGCCCGAGGCCAGCGCAGGCTGCGCGAGGACGGGGCGGACGGCTGAGGCTCGTCGCCTGCCTGACGGCCGCGCGGCGCGGAGGCCGCCATGTCGGCGGCCGAAGTTGGGCCGAATAGCCAGCCAGTGCGCTCCACGCGGTGGAGAAGCTTCACGGTGTGCGTGTGGTCTGTGGTGCCTACGCCAAGCACCGCACGCAGAGCCGGTGACGACAGTGCCCAGGCAGGTCGGAGCAGGCAGGCCAAGCAGAGATCGAGCGCCAGCGATGGGGACGCGGACCCGCGGCGAGTAGCACACGACCATCAAAGGGCATTGGGCTGAGGGTCAACGACAGGGTCATCATCTGGGGCGGCCATGTCGTGGTGCCCTGAACTCAAACGAGTCTGCGTAGGGTGCTCACAGTACGGCCAGTGGGCACTGATGGCGTTGGCGTGTGTGCAGCGCGGGGTGTCGGCACCAGCGTACGAACCTTGCGATGGCCCTAACAGGGCATCATTGGCATAGCGGCCTCG